GGAGCTTGTCCAGGACGACTTGACCTCGCGAGGTCAACACTTGAAGTGTGTCAAGGCGAGAAGCCATGTTGCTCTTTTCTGCAAATAGCTCTGTTGGGGTAGGACCAATTTTGAAGCAGCTACTAAATGGCACAAGGAAATAAATAGAATAATAAGCTGCTAACTGCTCTTAACTGAACTCTTGTGAAAGCAAAACTTAAGAAAAGAAAAAGAGCATTTGGAGAGTGGGAGGGTGATGCGGAAAGGCAAGTGGAAATCTGGTCAGCTCCATTTTCACATGTGACTGCTAAACCATGTTTGAAGTATTAACAGATCTGCAAAGTGGCGAAACCTGCCTTGACTAGAATACATTTCTTTTGCTATTAAATGCGAAATCAAGCATAAACAAAATCACCACAGAAAGCAGGTTAGACATATTGAGACGGAAAGGGGGCCAGAGGCATCAATAACGCATGCCAGAATTTTGATAGAAGTTATTACAAGTCTGTAACAATGAAAACACCATTAACATGAAGATCCACTGGAATGCATATTTGGTTTTAAAATGGCTCCTTTCCTCTTTCTTGTTGTTTAGTCATTTAGTCATGTCCGACTCTTTGTGACCCCATGGACCAGAGCACGCCAGGCACTCCTGTCTTCCACTGCCTCCTGCAGTTTGGTCAGACTCATGTTTGTGGCATCGAGAACACTGTCCAACCATCTTGTCCTCTGTCGTCCCCTTCTCCTTGTGCCCTCCATCTTTCCCAACATCAGGGTCTTTTCCAGGGAGTCTTCTCTTCTAATGAGATGGCCAAAGTATTGGAGCCTCAGCTTCACGATCTGTCCTTCCAGTGAGCACTCAGGGCTGATTTCCTTAAGAATGGAGCGGTTTGATCTTCTTGCAGTCCATGGGACTCTCAAGAGTCTCCTCCAGCACCATAATTCAAAAGCATCAATTCTTCGGCACTATTGCCAAGAGTCCCAAACCAAACTCGAAAGACGCTCTTAGCACTGCTTGTGAAAATTCTCTTATGAATATAAGACAAAAATGGCCCTGATCTGGGAATGTTTGTTACGTTTGAGTCCCATTCAGAAATCAAGGGGCAAGGTGATTGTGACTAACTTAAACCTCATTGATTTCAATTCGATTTGAGCGACGAATTTTGTGCAGCTGATCGGAGCTATAGTTGTTGGTGAAGTTGGCTTTGTTTAAATGCGGCACAGTTTTTAACAGAGGCTGACTCAGCTAAGTACATTCATCACTTGATGACAGTAACATCAAGCATTAACTTGAATGTGTGAATGAGCTATCACAAATTTAACCAGAGACCAGAGACAGAGATTTTGTATCATCCAAAGTCACCTCCAATGCAATGCTTTTCAATGGAGTTGGTTCACCTGTTGAACAGTGACACACAGATGAATTGAAGAAAGCATCATGTCCCCTTATTCCAAGTTCCCTTTCCACAAACTCATGGACCAATTGCCTCTCACATTGGAGCTGGAAATTACAACACACTTGGCACTACAATGCCCACGAGTTCAGTGATGAAGGAACAGTAGTTGTGGTCATTTGGCCTGAGACTGGGAACAACATGTAATACTTTCATTTCCAGCGATGGCTGTTTTGGCTCACAGCTTCACCACTGTTTAAATAGCCAGAACTTGGTCAATATTAGACAGCCCTATTTGAGCAGAATGAGGCAACTACCAGTTGATGTTCCCGGATTTCTTAAGTGGTAAAAGGTCCAAGGTAGCCTGTTACATTATCCACTTCCCTGTGAGGAGAAAAGTACTGGAAGCTTGTGGTGTTTATGTCATACATTTTTATTACACAAGTTGAGCCTCAGCCTAAAGAAACATCCAGCCTGCCCTTCTTCTTCTTCTTCTTCTTCTTCTTCTTCTTCTTCTTCTTCTTCTTCTTCTATAACTTGTCTGTTCCCTCAATGCAACAACAGCTTGCTTTTGCCAGACAGTTCCAAAAACTCAAGACTTATTTTTCCTTTGCTGGGTACAGTCAAAATTGTTTCCTCAAACATCAAATTAGTGGAGAAATGATGGCTGAAGTAGATGGAGTTCCTCAACCTTACATCTCCATCATTTCTTCCCTGCACCCCTGTTTCCCTAGCTAGGGCACCTAGCTGTTTGATTGAAGTGCAGAGTGTTTGAGGACTGGGACATTCGCAGGGAAACCAAAATGCTTGTTTACAAAGCTATTGTACTACCAACCTTACTGTATGCTTGTGAAACATGGACCACTTATAAACGCCATCTCCAACTCCTCGAAAGATCCCATCAATGGTGTCTCTGAAAAATTTTACACATCACCTGGGAAGACAGGTGAACTAATGCCAGTGTACTGGAAGAAGTAAAGATCACCAGTGTCGAAGCAATGATTCTTCAACATCAACTTTGTTGGACTGGTCATGTTGTGTGGATGCCTGATTATCATCATCCAAAGCAACTACTCTATTCTAGACTTTAAAATGGTACGCGTAATGCTGGTGGTCAACAAAAGAGGTTCAAAGACTCTCTCAAGGCAAATCTTAAAAATGGAGTATAAACACCGACAACCAGGAAACACTGACCTGTGAGTGCTCCATTTGGAGAACAGCCTCTACCAAAGGTGTCATGGGCTTTGAAGATGCTCGAACTCAGGACGAAAGGGAGAAACGTGCTAAGAGGAAGGCATGCTTGGCAAACCCTCACCATGATCAACTCCCTCCCGGAAACCTATGTCCCCACTGTGGAAGGACGTGTGGATCCAGAACTGGCCTCCACAGTCACTTATGGACCCACTGTTAAAACTGTGTTTATGGAAGACAATCTTACTCGGCTACGCAGGATCACCAAAGAAGAAGAAGACAGCTGGAAGCAAAGCTCCTGGGAAAATGGCAGTGCAGAGGCAATGGTTAAGCAGTTCCTGCATTGCTGCTTCTCCCCTGCAAATTGATTGTTCCTTTGCAGTATGATAGATGTTCATCAGAGAGCCAAATACCCTCTAGCATCTGCCCTGTGAGGCAGCCATCTCACTCAAGACTCCTGAAGTTCCCAGGCTGCACAAGTAACTATCAGTAAAACAGCAAAATGAATTCTCCTTTGAAAGGAGAATAGCTTGTGTTCTTGGTTGACTCTGGCACTCAGAAGCAAAGGGTCTTCTTGCTCTCTCTTTAATTTTTGCTATTCATAACTCCTTACATCTCACAGCAGACCTATTTTAAGCAACAGATGGATCAAACGCAAATAAAGAACAAACTACAAGGGCTAAAAGATATTATTTCAAATGCTTGCTTTGTTCAAAAGTCATGTTGTTCCTGAACACTGATGTAATTGCTGCTTATTTTGAACACTCCACAGCCTGGCTTTGGTTAGAGACAGACAAAACATAACTTAGAACTGTAAACCGCATCTTCTGTGCCAAGAAGAAACGGCTGTAATTTACATTATGCTTCAGATTTGAAGGCAAAGGATGCAGCCAGATGGCCACTGCCCATGCTTTTGGTAATCTGTCTATCACATTTGTATCGCCCACCATTCTTCCAAGGAGCTCAGAGCAGCAGGTTTTATTGTATTGTCTCGCTTCTTGGCATAGCCCCTGACGTGGATTCCAAACAGAAACACCAAAACCAACAGAGCAAAAGCATGCAAACAAATTCCTGAGGGCATCTGAGAAAAATCACCCCCATCCTAGGGTGGCCGCTTACAAATGGCTCAAAAAAAGGGTAACAAATGCATTAACCTCCCCAACCCCACAAAAAAGATGAAGAAAGAGGAGGCAGGTTTGCATAAAAATTGCATATGCAAATATAATTGATGAAACTTTAGAAATCATAAGTACAATTTGAAGAGAAATGCAATTCCATAGCAGGGAAGACTGTGACCAGGTGTTTCCCCAGCCTGCTGTCCTGCAGGTACAGGTGCAACTTCAAGGCTCCTCCTACCTTCCCATCTTATGATTCTGTATCTATAAATAGGGCTTGGACTGGACAGCCCTTACAATAGAGGATGGTCCTCTGCCAAGTTGGACACATGGCCAGCCTATCACCTCCTCCCGTATGAACCTATATGAGATCTTCGCTCTGTTCTTGAGGTCCTTCTTGTGGTTTTCCAGCCAGGTGCTGTTGATGAGGACATGAGTAGCGGAACCTCCAAGGGAAGTCCATCTGGCCCCTTCTTTGCTCACATTTAAATGAGTTCTTAAGATATCTTTCCTTGGGCAGGCATTTTTTAATTCAGGGATAGTCAACATGGTGCCTTTGAGAAGTTGTGGACTACAACTGCTGTGGACTCCAGCTGGCATGGCCAATGGTCAGGGATAATGGGAGCTGCAGGCCACAACTTCTGGAGGGCATTGTGTCAAACTATTTTCAAAAGTGGTTCAACAGTCAATCCCTCTTCCCAGGGAACTCTGGGAATTGTAGTTATGTGAGAGGAATGGGGGTTTCCTAATAAGTCTCAGCACCCTTAACAAACTACAGCTCCCAGAATTATTTGGGAGAAGCTATGACTGCTCAGAGTGGTGACACATGGTGTGAATGTGGCCTACAACTCCCATCATACCTGACCATTGGCCATGCTAGCTGGAGGTGATGGGATTTGGAGTCCAACAATACCTAGAGAGCCAAACAGACATACCTCCCCCTCCATATAGGGAACAGAATGACCTCCATGATACAGAGCCTATGCTCTATGACTCAGAGCATGTCCATTTCTATATATAGCACAAAAATAGCCAAAAGCCATGGGGTTATGGAGAAAGACTCTAGATACAGCTTACCATTGTGCCCTTCTGCTATCCTATGTAGGCACAACTCCACTGGGAATCCGTGATGGATTCCTAAGCAAATAAAACAGCACTCATAACAGACATTTACAAAAGAGATATTAAATAAATGTTTGCTAAAGTAGCTCAAGGTTATTAGTTAATGTTCGTTCCTTCATAACGCAGAGTGCAGTTAATAATTATTAAGCCTGTTTTGCCCCCCCCCCAAAAAGTCGGGTTAGATTGTTTTGACCTGTGTTAAGCATTAATGTCAACAACTACTATCATGGTTTGTGTGTGACGCTACCCGAGGGATCCAGTGTAAGTGATGAGAAGTTATGGTACAGCTGGAGAGCTCTTAGTGGCGTAGATGCCTCTAATCTGCATCACAGCAGCGATTTTATGATAGAAAGCCCTGGATATCCATTGTTGTTATTTGATTTGGTGCATTTCAGCTGTTGATTGAAAGGAGAGCCTAAACTGGGCTGCAAATTGAGAAAGGGAATTACGAAATCCTGTTCCAAAAATTAAAGATCTGGTAGGGGCTGTGAGTATTTTGCCAACATTTCCCAATAACTGGATTAATTACACGGTAGTGTCACTGATGACACCCCCCCAGAAACAGCCTTACTGTGAACCAAGATGAGATGGCTGCCTTGTTGGGCAACCGATTTAGGGCGCTGCGTGGATTATAAGGTTAGAGATAGACCAAGCTAACTCTTGGGGCAAAAAAGACTGAGAGGTTCTCCTGAGTGATCTCCACTGAAATGAACAGGAACTTTGTGATTGTTGATGCCCTTGTTTGGTGCGTTGAAAAGGTGCCATTTGGATTTTCTGGCACCAAAATGTATCAAGGTACTATCTAGGATTTGCTACCAGTAAGCAGTTAAAACATAAGCAATGATTGTCACTGTTGTTAGTGTGGTTTGCGCATGGGAAGTGCTTGCTTGTATTTGGCTATCTGTATTTGGAGTATTTATTTGAAAATGGCAATTGGATCTCAGAAATGTTGCCAACATTTACTGAATGCACCTATTGGGTTGCAGTCACAAACAGGGTCCTGGTGGGAAATCGCTGAACTGTCCAGGAAAATCTGGACGTATAGCACAACCCATGTCAGAAGTCTAAAAAGATCTCAACAACTTGGTCCCCCCCCCCAAAAAAAGATCTCAACAACTTTTGTGTTTGTTTGTTCACTTTTTGAAATATGGCAACCCTAATGTATCCAACTATGTTCTCCTAGAGTGGACTGGTTGAAATTCACAGACCTAAGTTAGTTATGCCCATTAATTTCAGTGGGTCTGCTCTGAGTCTGGCAAACACTGAATGAAACCCACTGAATGTTAAAATTCTGAATGTGTTTCTTACAAGGACTGGCTCCTGAAAGGTCATGCTGTGGAGATCATGTGACCTAAAACGCTAGCTTGACAAACACGATTTATGGGTTAAACTTGAGCTGACAGCAGAGGCAGGTTTAGGGGAGCTTGACCAGTTTGGTCTCAGTGGGCCTGGAGCCTTGGGGGTGCTGTAACTATGAAGTAGAATGGGAGGCGAGAGGGCACCGAATTTGGGTGTTGCACAGGTTGCCGTAGAACCTTGAGCTTCCCAGGTCTGCCACTGCTTTCAGACAAGGCCTCTGACACTGACATGGTGAAGGGCAGCCATCGCCCTGAAAAAGGTGTGAAACAAATGTCTGAAATTTTTGTGGCTAGAGAGCAGACGACTATATAGAGAATATATGGAGAGCTCTTCCCACTGACTGGGCAGTGGCTTTACAGCCTTTAGAAACTAAGGGCTCCTCCAGACTTCTGTTTGTTCTGCCACTTTCCCCCAGGAAAACCCAATGTTTACTGCTAAATGGGAGCTAGTGTTAACTGGGCTTTCCACGGATTGATGTTTGTTCTGATTCAGCGCTAAAGAGCAAGTTTTCCTGGGGAAAGTGGTGGGGCCCATGCCTAGAAAGCATGGGACAAGTGGGGAAACCCCCAGGACCCGTGCTTTCTGAGCACAGGATGAGCAGAAGTGTGGACCAGTCCTTTATCAAGCCAGATCTCTGTTGTTTCCAATATGGTGAACGAGGCGACGAACAAATCAGTTAGGGATCCAATTTTTACAAATGCTGACTGACAATCTTGTATGGAGAAACAGGGCTGCAGATTGTTTGTTTGTTTGTTTGTTTGTTTGTTTGTTTGTTTGTTTCTGGGGGGGGGGTCCCTCCCTTGAAAGAGGAAGAGATAGAGATGTGAAATATGTTGTTGAATGGCCTGGGCTTCTTCCTCTAAATTTCAGATATTGAACGTATTCTTCAGATCCCTGGTCCAAGAGCCCAAACAAACGGTACAAGCAGATATCGTGGGTAGCTTTGAGCACTATTGACTCAAGGACTCCATCTTCAAAGCACTAGGTAACTTTTGTGAGCTCAGATATCGTGGTGTCTCTTTAGACGTCTTCTGAGATATATGCCCTGAAACTGTTAGGCGAGCCTGCCACCCATATACACCTCCTTTATAGCCAGCAGGAATTCCATATCCCAGATGAACAAACACCTTTAAAAAATTGCTTTCATAGCCCATTTCATGATTTCCACCCTCAATTTGCATGTATTCTGGATTTCTACCTTGTAAGCCAGGGAAACATTTCCCAAGCTTGGATCTGAAAATATGTTTTCCTTCTTTCTGCCATTTGAACTATTTGTGCTTTTTGTTTCAGGGGATAGTCGCATCATGAGTCCGAGACAGATTCTGAGCTGGGCATCCTGCAACCTGCCCCTAAATCCAGCCTTGCCTGTTTTCATCTGGTGTGCATCCTTTTCTCTGAGCACACCCCCTGAGGCCCCCAAACCATCTTAGCACAGATTTATCATACCACCTGGCTTTGGTGTGGAGGCGACGGTTCTCCCCCAAATCAAAGCAAGCATTGAACGAAACCCTCTCTTACCCCCAGCCTGGCATGAAGCAAAAAATAAAATAAAAATAAGCCACCTAACGAAGTTGGCCTCTGGCTCATAAAAATAATCCATCTCTGTATGAAAACCAAACGCTTCATAAAACCGTCATGCTGATTTGAAAAACAATTTTACAGCTAAAGGGAGGAATGCCCAGCCAGTGTAATTCATTACACTGAGGAGGCTTTAATAAGCCAGCCAAAAAGCACAAGGGAGTTCCCCTCCAGCTATAATAGAATGCAGATGCCATAATATAGCGCACATGCAACCCTTCATACAAGTTGCAGGCCTAATAGCTGTGGATTCCAAGGCAAAAAATTCTCCTCAGAGGTCATTCCTCAGGGTAACAAGCAGACACAGAGAGCTGCTGCCACGGTAGAGCTGGGTCTCACCCTAGCTAAACACAGCTTGAAAGTGAGGGGTGGCAAAAGCAACCTCACCTGGTTTTGACACTACAAATAAAGCTCAAAAGGGCACCAGATAAGGATACACATCAGGTGCCCACTTCAGGGCACCACCGACAAATTGGAGGATATTCAAAGGTGGACAACAAAGATGGTGAAGGCAGAAACCAAGGCCGCATTTGCACCAAACATTGAAAGTGTTATTATGCCCCCTTTTTAACCGTCATGGCTTCCATCCTATGAACTGAAGATTGATAAGGGCACTGAGAGTTGTTAAAAGCCCTCGATTTCCCTCACAGAATGGTTTAACAGTCAATGCCTCTTCCCAGGGAACTCTGGGAGTTGTAGCTGTGTGAGGGGATTGGGGGCCTCCTAACAACTCTCAGCACCCTTAACAAACTACAGCTCCCAGGATTCTTTGAGGGGAAGCCATGGCTGTCTATAGTTGTATAAGAGTGCTTTAAATGTATGGTGCAGATGCAGTGCAAGTCTTGTGAGGAAGGAGGTGGATATATTTAACCTACAGAAGAGAAGATGGGGGGGGGGACAGGACATGCTAGTAGTCTTCAAATATCTGTCATGTAGTAGAATTTGAGAGAAAAGCTGGATCTAAATATATTAATTAAATAAGTGTCTCTCCTGGTTCTGCATATTCTACTGAACATTAATTCTCCTTCAGGCAATGTTCATTATTGCTTCATTCGAAGAATATAATACATACATACATACATACATACATACGGATGTATTGAACGCTGAAGCTCCACTGGTGTCCCAGAATTCCTCTCCTGACCCCTCCAGCCTCAAAATCTGTTCCTCAGGGTTGGGGGACACTCTGGAGCAGATTTTGGAAATACACAGAGGGAGTCTTGATGCGTCAGCAGAAGTCTGCTGGCACATCTTCAGATACAACCCAGTGACAGGAACTGGTGTGATCAATGCTATTTTTCTAGAAAAAGAGGTGGTGGAACTCACGCCTTCCTTGCTCTCTTAGAATGGCAATGGTGCCCATCTGAGTGGTGCTGGAACTGAAACATGAGAAACTGGGAGAAATCAAAATTTGCCCATCCCTAGCTATGCCTATTGCTAACCACCACGGCGCATCATCAGTGCTGGCTATAGCAATATCAAAACTTCAGTTCGTTCCAAGAAAAATGAATCATCCCACCTTGAACCAGAAGGTGATATGAGCTTTTGTGAATCTGCCCACATTCCAGACCAGATCAAAGGCTTCTCTCATGGACTGACAGGGAGCTGGTGCAGTGCGATGACTGAGATATGAACCAGGAAGCCTCTGCTCAGAATGTCATCTCTCCCAAGAACTCAGATGAAATTATCTCCAGCATCTCTCAGCATCTCTTCACCTATCAGTAAAATGGAGGGGAACACAACAATATGGGTGGGAATAAGGACAAAAATAACACTGTCCTACCTTACAGGGTTATTGCAGATAATGCGTCTGAAGCAGTTTGCACACACAGTGCAAATGTTAAGTAATATGAAGGACTGGTTTGGAGAGCTTTTGCTCAGTCCTGCCTTATTCAAGAGAGGTTATTTGAGGGCACTGCAGAGCTCGCTTGGTGCAGGCTGAAGTTTGGGCCCAATATGCTGTTTCATACCCAAAATGCAAAACTCTGAAAACATGTAGCTGCATAATGGGTGTGCTGGCAGCTCTCAAGCGTCAGGAGAGCTAATGAAAGCAGCCCTGTGCACAAAAGAGGTTTTCAATGCATCTGTCCCAGTTTTACTTTTAATGAAATTCATGCATTTAAGCTACAAAAACAAACAGTTCCCGGGAACTCAGAGCTCTCTGGCTGGCAGGGTAACATTCCTTATTCCCAATCCGATCTCATCTCATCTGCAGCGAGAGAGGGCAGTTTAGGAAGGGTTGCAACATCTGGACAACAGCTGATGCCGACTCGGGGGACTTAATCAAGATATCCAGGAAGAATATATTTTTCCAGAACTTGAGAGAGTATTATTGAATCCCAGAGAGAAACCGATCTTTCATGTGACAAAGAATTTTTTAAAAAAGCCCACCCACTTGTTTACCAAACTTCCTCCTGACACAACCTCTGTATATGCAAGGAGCAAAAAGTGACAGTCCTCCCCTTTTGAGACAACGAGAATAAGATGACCAAAATATATCCATATTGAAACTTCTCCGGCTTGGGAGAGTCACACATTTGGCAACTCCCCTCTCCTTTGTTTTCAAAAATAAAAACAACCGCCTGAAGAGCACTTTCTTCCACCGCATCAGATTATTGTTATATGTGTAGACGAAGCGATGTGGTCTTTTAAAACTGTCTTCTGATAAAGCACATAGAATTCTTTGTCCCAGTTATTAAATAGCTCCCTTTGGAACAGCCTTCAGCAAAGTACAACTCCCAGCAGCCCCGGACGGCATGGCCAGGCTTTTCCCAAACGTCTGGAGGGCACCAGGTTCTGGACATGCATGCATTCAATTTATATCCTGCTCTTCCTCCCAAAGGAGCAAACACATGAAGTTGTGTGTGTGTGTGTGTGTGTGTGTGTGTGTGGAACGCTCTGTCACAAGAGACTAGGGGCCTGCGGGACTTGACATCTTTCCACAGGGTCTGCAAGACAGAGCTGTTCCACCAGGCCTTTGGCCAGGGCACAGCCTGACTCACTCCTTTGGCAATCTTCACAGAACTCTAGCCCAATGGTTGCCATCAATTTGATTTGAATTAATTTTATAATGAAATGATTTTAGAATGTTGTATTATTTTATTGTTGTTAGCCGCCCTGAGCCCGGCTTCGGCTGGGGAGGGCGGGATATAAATAAAAATTATTATTATTATTATTATTATTATTATTATCATCATTATTATTATCTTAAAAGTATTCAAGAAACAGTTAAAAACATCCTCTCAGCCAATGATTTCAGGGTTGCCAGCCATCTTTCAGCCTCAAATGCCTGGCTAAACTGGAATGTTTTAAAATTCCTCCTGAACAGTGGCAATCCCAGGAAAATATGGTAGGCTGGTTTCTGCAAAGACTCTCACACCCCTTCCATTCTGATGAGCAAGAAGCATGATCAGAGTTCAAGGGCACACTGCAGCCAGGAAAAAATATTTGGGGTGCAAAGTTGGGCCAGTGTGAGAGGTGGCCTGTGTAGGGTTCAAAGAGCCAGGTAGGTAGGTCTGGAGGGCTGTATTTAGACCCCAAGACATGAGGTTCTCCATCCCTATTTTCAAGGAATCGAATACACATGCAAAAAAGTGTGGCACCCTCCCCAATACGTGTGTAAACTCAGTCTAGCAGAGTGGAGAACTTCAGCACACTCCCTCCTGAACATTTGAATGAAATGTAAAAGGTAAAGTCCAGTCAGCTATGGGGTTGCAGCGTTCATCTTGCTTTCAGGCCAAGGGAGCTGGATTTTGCCCACAGACAGCTTTCTGGGTCATGTGGCGAGCATGACTAAACCGCTTCTGATGCAACGAGACACCGTGACGGAAACCAGAACACATGGAAATGCCGTTTACCTTTCCGCCACAGTGGTACCTATTTATCTACTTGCCCAGGCGAGCTTTCGAACTGCTAGGTTGGCAGGAACTGGGACAGTGCAAAGGGAGCTCACCCTGTCAAGGGGATTCGAACTGCTGACCTTCTGATTGGCAAGCCCAAGAGGCTCAGTGGTTTAGACCACAATGTCACCCACGTCCTAACATCAAGAGTGCATCAAGGCTAGCATTAAGAGTGCAGGAAGTTTCACAAGCCTGCTCACTACTAGCTCAATATTACACAAGAGGCATAGCATGAGAAACCCAGGCACTTGGGAATGAAATCTGATTTCCTGTGGCCATGGACAAAGGAGATCTGCCAGTTTAAATGCCTAATCTCCCAACACACACAAACACACACTATCCAAGAGCTGTAAATGTTTGTTAGGTACCAGAGTGGGAAAGCATTAAATGTAATTATCACACATTAGCCTTTGATTCCTTTTTGTTTAGCTGATTTGAATAACTCACACTTTGAAAGCAAAAACTGACACTCGTTTTGAAAAAGCAGGTGCTCTCTAGCCTTAAAACGAAAAAAATTAACATATTGTGGCATATCTTCCCAGCCATTTTACATTTTAATGGAGCGTACTGTTTCCAAAGCAGCATAATCTTTTCCTTTAAAAGAGGTTTTAAAATAGCAATTGAGAGGCTTAGAAGGTTCTTATCTTTGTCTCCAAGGAATTTGTTCTCCAATGTTGTCTTTAGGGGCTGTTCTCCCCCCAACCCCAATGATCATGCAATTAACTGTCTCCCTTTGTTGGATTATTTTTTCTGGTGCCTGGATCTCAAAAGTAGGAAACCTGTTAATAACGAATGCCAGACAATTAGTCCCTTGATGCTTTCGTTTATTAGGTCAATTAACAACTTCCAGAGCAAAAACAACAAAGAATCTATGTAGTTTCTGAAACAGAAACAAATTTATTTTGGCAAAGCTTCATCAGTTGCAAGCGATGCAAGAAAACGCACTGGCACAAATGTTTATGCCATAATATATTTGTTAGTGTTTACGGTGCTCAATGCTATTTTTCTAGAAAAAGAGGTGCCGGAACTCACGACAAACGCTTCGCTTGGCAATGGTGCCCACCTAAGAGGTGTCAGAACTGAGTTCCGCCTGGGGGGAAAAGCCCTGATGGTGCTATAGGAGCAAAGTGATAGTTTTAGGTCAATTCACTGCTTTCAAATACAGTGGAACCTCGGTTTTTGAACATAATCCATTCTGGAAGACCGTTAGACTTCCGAAATGTTTGAAAACTGAAAACTCAATATGGAAGCCTCTCCACAATAGGGAAACTCAAAATGGAAGCCATGTAGCATGTCTGGCTTCCAAAAATCATTCGAAAATCAAAGCAGTTACTTCCGGGTTTTCGGCGTTCGAAAGCCGAGGTTCCACTGTAATGAGTTAGATGGACCAATGGCCTGGCTCAATATAAAGCAAATGCATCCAAGACTATCCAGTCAGTAGCTGTAAGCCATGTCAAAGGGTGGCTTACACACCATGGAATGCAATACTGAGTTTCTATTGCACTACTTGTGTTGTGTAATTAAGGTGGGAGGGGATTCTTTTTCAGGCTGACTGTACACAGTCTAGAAGATGTCTGTTACAGAAGCAGAAAAGACAAAGGAAGAAACTAAACGAAGAAAAGCTATTTAAGTGTCACTCGTGAAAACATCCATCATTTTTGCATTAGGGAGGTGGGGGGTGGCTGTGTGGGACAGCCACTTCAGTTTGGCAGCAGTTCTCCAGAAAGTCAACACAACTTTTATCAAAGTCCATAGGCTCCATCAAAGCCCTCTGGGCTTGGTTATTAGAGGCTTGGCAAAGAACGTCAGCCCCTCTTTGAAAAGGGCAGTGGGTTTTAAGAAGAAGAAAGGGAAAAACACTCTGAAAGCAGGTAATTCATCTTAGAAGATTTTAGATTTTGATAATAGCTCCATTTATTTCAGACCAAGCAATCTCCTGTGGTCTCCCAGACTTTTTTTTCCCCCAAACAAGATACCTGCACTCTGGGCTTGTAATGTACCTCTAATTCATTGCCATCAGTAACAGGAATAAAAGCACACATACAGAGACAACAAAAACAACTTTTCAATCACTTGAAGATTCCGAAGCAATCAAGCTTCATACTAATGTCTGCCACTTATTATTCCAAGTGCTCCGCATGACAGAGATGAGAGCATTCAGCGGTTAGCATAAATCATTCCTACTGCAAAACTGTCACCATTCTGGGAGGGGGGCACAATTCTCTCCCTAGACTACATTCAAAAGATACGGTATATATATTAATAGGAGAAAGTTTGAGCTAGGGACTAAAGACTTATCTGCTTGTGCATAAAGGGTTTTGGGGGGGCAGAATACCACAGCTAGTGGTCATTCCTTCTATTTCCAATGTTCAAGCGGTGTGTGCCAGTCCTTTTGCATCCAAAATGGCAGCACACATGCACAACGGAGAGGTTTTAAGAGGCGTAAGGGAACTGCAAGGTTTGCAGAAATACCCACCCCCTAAAAAAAAGTTTTAATCAGGAATCCTAACCCAGTGGGGGGGAACACTCTTAAAAACAGCCCAATGAAGACTTAAGTGTGCACTCAGTAGCCACAAAACACTGAGTGACTTGGGAGAAATGGAAAACTGGAGGAGAGGGGCAATGGAATGTTGACCTTTAAAGCCCTAAACGGCCTCGGTCCAGTATACCTGAAGGAGCGTCTCCACCTCCATTGTTCTGCCCGGATGCTGAGGCCCAGCGCCAAGGGCCTTCTGGCGGTTCCCTCATTGCAAGAAGCAAAGCTACAGGGAACCAGGCAGAGGGCCTTCTCGGTAGTGGTGGAACACCCTCCCATCAGATGTCAAAGAGATAAACAACTACCTGACATTTAGAAAGCATCTGAAGGCAGCCCTGTTCAGGGAAGTTTTTAATGTGTGACATTTTAATGTATTTGTAATCTTTGTTGGAAGCCACCCAGAGTGGCTGGAGAAACCCAGCCAGATGGGCGGGGTACAAACAATAAATTGTTGTTGTTGTTGTTGTTGTTGTTATGGAATCCAGTGACAGGTATCTAGAACAGGGAACATTTTGTTGGAGGTTGCAGTTGCAACATTGTACTAGCTAACTTAATTTATACCCACAGCATACATTTGAAGTACTCATGTCACTTTAACGGTTATGGCTCTCGCTCCAAATATACATACAGTATATATCAATATCAATATCTATATTGATAAATATATTGATATCGATAGATATAGGTAGTTTGTTAAGTGGCCTTCTAACAACTCTCCTATATCTCCTAGGATTCTTTGGGGACTTTAGAGTCACACTTTAGACTCAACACCTTGTGAAGTTGCTTTCTTCACATGATGGCTCTGTTGTGTCACTGAGGCTTTTCTTTAACAGAATCAGCTTAAACAGAATTAAAATCCTGGTTTCACGTTGCACTTAATGTAGGCATGCCTGCTCCTAGGACCTAGATGCTTTTATAATGTTTACTCAGAAGCAGGTCTGGTTCCGCATAGGTTGCTATCGCATTTAATTAACAGCATCATCATTGCGTCTTCTGCCTCTAATTGCTTCCCGTTCAGTGTGGCGTGGCATTAGTAATGAATTAGTCAGTTTCTGTTCCCCTCTGGAAGGGTTGAATTGCTTGTTTCCTCCCATTTTTATAGCACCATATTACAAGACATGAAAAAGAAAAAGAGGAAGCGAATAATTAAAGCCCACCACCAGAGGGACAGGAATTGACTCATAAAGGGGAATTAGGAGGGGACAATTTGTCACAAAGGCTGTGTTACACCAGAAGCAGAACTAGGAACCTTAGACAAGCCTGCTGGATCAGACTGTCCCACCCAGGCCGTATCCTGGTCTTTACTTGGCCAACAAGATGCCTTTGGGAAGCCTGCAAGCTAGACATGAGCACAACACAGTGGTGTAGCGTGGGAGGGGCCCTCCGGGGCAGCTGCCCCGGGCACAAAAACCTGAAAGGGCACAACCAGATACCCCAATGACAGGCTCCTTGTGGCAGACCCTGACAATGGCCATCATCGCTACTACACCATGAATTTGTCTAATCGTCTTCTAAAGTCATGTGGATAAAGGATAGCACTTTTAGTCCAAACGGCAGGAGCTACTCGAGGCTCCCTTTGGCTTCAGATTTTAGCAGGGCCTTGAACTTGGCTTTTTCCATGCCCAAGCCAAACAATGCACACAGCGTACACACAGGGGGAGGGACCACAGTACAATGATATAGAATATATACTTTGCATGCAGAGCATCTCCAGTTAAATGGTTCAGGTAGCAGATGTTGTGGGGAGACCTCTGGCCAGCACCCTGGAGATTTGCTGCTGGTCAGAATAGATAATAGTGAGTGAGAGATGGGCCGGCTCAATATTAGGCAGCTCCATACGTTCACGTTGCCTTGCGGTAGAGGGGACAGAAACATCCTGAGATTGAGATTTACCTTGCAGCTCCTGCAGCTTCTTAAGTCATTCTGATAAGGAGTGAAAGTCTAGGAAAGTCTCTGCTGTGTCCCCCTCAGGTGTCGGCATATGCACAACGGGCCTCACTCCTGTTTAGATATTAGGAGTGCGCATTGGATCTGTGTGTACCTCAAACTACAAGGCAAACAGTGCTCTGGATAGTTTCCTCATGTTCCTGAGTTGTATCGTGCCTCAAACAAGCTCCCTTTGCTTTTGAATTGCGCTTGCTGGGTTGAGTGGCCAAAAATTGCAAGAAATGAACAAGTGGGGCCCTGCTCTACCACAGAACGCAGTAGTGGAGGCATTCCACCTCATACATCTGCAGAGTTCTTGGACTGGGAGAAGCAGATTCTTGGTGGAACATGCGTATGCAAGAGGTACCGTATTTTTCGCTATATAAGACTCACTTTTTCCCTCCTAAAAAGTAAGGGGGAATGTGTGTGTGTCTTATGGAGCAAATGCAGGCTGCGCAGCTATCCCAGAAGCCAGAACAGCGAGAGGGATTGCTGTGCAGCCCTCCCTCTCACTGTTCTAGCTTCTGGCTTAGATGGGTGCAGCCTCTTCAGGGCAGTGGGGAGCCTTCATCCTGCTGCCCTGAAGAGGCTGCGCAGCTATCCCAGAAGCCAGAACAGTGAGAGGGATCGCTGCGCTCCCTCTCGCTGTTCTAGCTTCTGGCTTAGTTGCACTCTGTCCCTTCCCTCACCTCCCGGAAAAGCTCCCAAGAGCCGCGCTCCCTTTAAAGAGCCGTGTGGAGCATGTGTGCAGCGCTTGGGGGCTTTTCCCTGAGGATGCATACAGGTTCTGCTCAGCACTCCCTTTAAAGAATATTTTTTTTCATGCATTCCCCCTCTAAAAACTAGGTGCGTCTTATGGTCGGGTGCGTCTTATGGAGCGAAAAATACGGTAAAATCAGGAGTGGCTCACCTGGTGGGGCAGAGCCAGAACAAGGACCTCCCAGCAAGATATCTGCTGGGCACAAGCAGCATCTCTGTCAGGCACAAGAAGTGGTGCTGCCTAAATCTTCCACTTCCCTGTATGCAGCAGCAATGCCACTGCTGGCTTGTGATTCTTGCTGGTCTGCCCCACTGAGCAAGATGTTGGAAAGAGCCCAGGCTGGCTGAGAAAAATTGCTGTTCTTTTCTGAAATGCTCACACATTATACATGCGCTGCTGGAGTCACAAACAAAATCACTTTGCTGCTAGAGGTGTTTGCTGCATTCCGCTTAGTCCAATGATCTGGGGCTGCGGTTGCATTAAGTACATTAAGTACTCGAGCCCTGAAAGAGCCTAAGGACAACATTACCTTTGCCACATTGGCAAGCATGCTATCTTACGAAGGCAAACTGTTTGGGTCTGAGTGGTCATGTACTGTTCTCACATTTCCTAGTATGGTGAGGTCATTTTGTGATTAAAGTGGCTTTGGTCACTCCATTCGTTTGTCATGCTTCCCAGTGAAATAAAAGTCAAGCCACACTCTGAACCATTCAGAAAACAAGACCAAATGAAACTTACAAAACGGGTCTTGAGAAACGGATGTGTGTGGGTAGACGGCAAGGGATTAATAGGACATTAATAGGCTCTTTCTTAGTTCTTAGGTTCTGAAAATTTGATTACACAATTGGGAAACAATGCAGTCCAGTGAAAGAGATTTAGAATGAAGACAGCCCAGCCAAGTTACAATCCCAGTTTTACTCACTGAGTGGAGTAGAAACAGACGGATCTGTTAATTTCTTACTTTCCAGACTAAAGTTCAATTCTCCACATTTCAGCATCAGTTTTTAATTATTTTAGTTATTTATTTATTGCATTCATATCCAAACTTTTCTCCAAAGAGCACAAGGTGGTGTAGATTATTCTCCCCCCTCCTCATTTAATCCCCACAACAACCCGGTTAGGCAGAGAGACAGTGACTGGCCCCAAGGTTACCTGCAGAGCTTCATGGCCAAGTGGTTCCCAAGAGGGCATCCCAGGGGCAACAGGATATGATGGCTCTCCCTCTTGTGGGTGGAGAAAGAGATCCATGGGAAAGCAGGAAATCTACCCATGGAGGCATCCTCTTGCCTCTGCACGTCTGTGGCCATTGATCCTCCACTGCCAGTGCTCCGCTGGAAAGGGCAGAGGTGAGGCATTTTGGCGTGGGTCAGAGAAAGATTGGGGAAGGCTTTTGATCTGCTGGATAACCCTTGGGATCAATGGGAGGGGAAATTGCAATACAGAACTGATGGTTAAAAAGGGGAATAATGTGCCTTCCCAAATGTCCATCCTGCTAGCACAAGCTTACCAGGACTTTAGATGATGATGATTAATTAGATTCATATACAACCCTTCATCATAAAATCTCAGGGCGGTTCACAGAATAAACTTAGGCAGGTTGTCTGCTTTCAATTCTTCCTCTCCCACCCTCTCCTTAGATTGATTTGCCCATTGCCTAAGAAGGTGTCCCCAGTTAACTGGGCAGAAGTATTTTTTTTAAAAAAAGAAAAAGAAATTGTTTTAATGCAAACAAGTCTAAAATCTACAGATGGAAAGTAGCTCTTTGAAAGAGGCATACTCCCTAATCCCTGACACAAAGAAATGTCTCCTCCAGAACACACATGTGGGTCGCCTAAACACAAAAATGTGCATGTTGTTTTTTTGCTTCCAAACTATTGTGTTTCCCTTAACTATATGCAGATTTAATCAATCGATTAGTTAGTCCATTAAGGCTCATACAACTTGTTGATTAAAATTGCTTCCATCAGGCTACATCCGTAATTCATCTTTATTTTTACATTTTTATCCCATCTTTTATTCAAGACGCTGCATAGGTACCCCTTGTTTTAACCTCAGAACAATATCAGGTAGGGTGGCTGAGGGAATATGGTGAGCAATTAAACCCAAGTTGCATCAACTTTAGGCCAAACTAAATATGTTTTTGTTCTTGACCTCTTTAGCCCTGGTGTGTGAGATATTTAAGGAGCAAGCTGGGTCAAAATTGTGATATTGGGGAGAGTGGGTTTTAATCCTTTGCCACCTACCTGATCCCCACCAGATCCCACTGCATTGGATTGGCTCTGCCACTGATACTAGCAAGCCGTTATAGCTATTAGTTCTTTTTCTGCTGCTGCCAGTGCCATTGGCAAAACAAAAAGGGCTTTGAGGTCTGGATCAGGCCTTCAGGTCAGCAATTTGTCACCTCTAGACTAGACGGTTTCCCACGAATGCATCCTATCCCACCCATGAGCGGATGAAAACTGGAAATAATACTGACATTTCAGTAATACTAACATTCAGCTGTAGTTTAAGCAAAAGGTCATGAGAGAAGCCATGCATATTGCAAATCCAATAATCACGATAAATTTAATATGTATGTGCTAAGCCAAGAGCCAAGGTAAACTCTTTGAACAACTGGCTCAGCTTCGAAGTCCAGCAATATAGTTTTAAAAGAATGGCAATATGGTCGTAGAACTTGTTGTGGCAAGGAAACCCTATCGATCAGAGAGGCAATTTCTTCCCCTTGAAGAAATATCAGCCAATAAGCAAATTCATTTGTTTTTGGAAAGTTAAATAGAAAGACCTCAAAGGTATGTAAGAAGCGAGCGGAAATAAGCATCTGGATCAGATTGAGCTAAATCTACGATAGAGGCAATGGAGCATTCACTGCCTTTATGATGGGCCAGGCATTTAGTTTTGGAGGGAAAAATGAAACTGTGGTAAGACCACCACTCTGAAAAAACACACACTGAAAAAAGCACACTCTGAAAAAAATAGCCACCCTTCTGAGGAAACGAAAGAGGGGATGTAGTGGTTAGTGTCAGATGAAGACTCAGTTCAGATCCTCACTTGCTCATGAAGCTCGCTGGGTGGTTTGGGACCATTAAGTATCTCTCAGGCTAACCTACCTCACACGGTTCTTGTGGGAACTAAATTGGAGGACAGCAGGCTAGTTTAAGGGGTTCAGAGCAGGCATCTAGTAGAGGGGAATACCTCAAACTACCTAATGAAAGGACCGGCTCTACTACATCACATTGGCTTCTGCTACTAGCTCACTGGAAGGACAGATCCTGAAGCTGAGACTCCAATACTTTGGCCACCTCATGAGAAGAGAAGACTCCCTGGAAAAGACCCTGATGTTGGGAAAGATGGAGGGCACAAGGAGAAGGGGACGACAGAGGACCAGATGGCTGGACAGTGTCCTCAAAGCTACCAGCATGAGTTTGACCAAACTGCGGGAGGCAGTGGAAGACAGGAGTGCCTGGCGTGCTCTGGTCCATGGGGTCATGAAGAGTCGGACACGACTAAACGGCTAAACAACAACAACTATCACTCTGCTATGCAATGCTAGAGGAGAGGGAAACACTGACCACTGGTAACATTTATTTATTTTATGGTTTATCATTTACAATCTTCATCTTGAGAGACTACCTGCTACATGAGCGCCTGCTTGTACATGCAACTACAACTTGATTGAGGATGTTGTGGTCTCCCCAAAAATGCAGATCATTATTTATACTACTGCAATTGGGTCAGCTCCTTCTCGGATAAGGAACTATTTTATTTATTAAATGGCACAAATCAAACAGCCCACCCGGCCCCATGACTCCTGCCTGCTTTGTTCTGCTCTAGTGTTTGATCAGGAGGCTCAAGAAAGGTTTTCCAGAGCTACTCGCTGTGAGAGAAGCAAATACACAGGAAAACAGCTTGTTAACAGCAGCCTTCAAGAACTCCTTCAAAGGGAGGCAGTGTGACGTTGGATGGGAAACAACATACAGTTCTGTATGATCAAGACAGACAGACAGCTGACCATGTCTATTATTAATATTCTCCACCCACCCGTCCTGATTTCAGTGGATACAGCATCAGAAGGAGATGTTCTAGCTTAGCCAGGTCTCTGCCTGAGACTTTGCAGAGCTACTACCTGCCAGAATAAAACCAGGGATGGGGCATCTGTGACCCTCTAGTTGTTGCTGAACTACAACTCCCACCAGTCTCAGCCAGCATGGCCAATTGCCAAGGATAATGGAACTTGTTGTCCCTGAGGGACCAGGGACCCAT